CTGTTCTGGAAAATGAGGCAGCGCAAGGCGCACACCAGGAAGGTTCGCGCCAAACGCGCAAACAGGTAACCGACCTGGAGCATGCAGCCATTGCAATGACTTGACGAGCGGCCTGAATAGAAAGTACGCAGTCAAGCCTGAACCCACGCGCTTCGACATATTAACTACAATTCAAAGCCACTGCGACGCGGAAAGATCCGCACCGGTGTCAATAGAAATCCAAGCATGGACCTGAAGAACGTGCGCCACACTGACTGGACATGCTCGCTCTGACGTACCGAATCAGGCGCAGAAAGCGAAACTTTTTGATCCGCGGGTCGAGAGCGCACCTCTTCCGGTCGAAGCTAAGCTAAGCTAAGCTAAGCTAGGAGGGGGGCAGAAAGAGGGACCTCACATCAAGGCCAGGAGGGGGCAAAGCCCCGGAATCAGGCGGTGCCGAAGACGATGTGCTTGCAAAGGAACGCCTTGGACAGGAACCCGGCGGCGAAGTACCGGAAGAAGCAAAATGCTGTGGTTGGGCAGAAAGCGAAACACACACACACACAGCGTCACACAGAGTGGGGTTCACACACGTAAGACTCTACGCTAGTTGCGCGAATAGTCCCTTGACCATTCGCATCATGATCAACTCGCGAAGGGGGTGGCGGGAAGGCGCCCGACCCCTCTGTCTTACTACTGACAATTCTGCGCCGCCCTTGATGTTGGCGATGATCTCCTTCGCACTGCCGCGGATGCCGTTCACCTCGCGGGGGGTGGTCGCCCAGGATACTCGAGCCCGGAGGACGAGGTGGAGAATGACGAGATGGAGGAGCAGGAGGGAAGGCGCAGCAGGCCTCGGAGGGCCGCTGGGCCCGAGACTCTCGAGCCGATCGGACGCCCCGCTCGACGGGAAGGGGAGCGGGGCAGACGGGGAGGGGAGGGGGGGACGGGGGACGGGGAGGCGAGGGGGCGAGGGGGCGAGAGAGGGGGAGGCGGGGGAGCAAGGGAAAGGGGGAGGGGGGAGGAGGGGAGAGGGGGAGACAACAAGCTAGGTGCGCTCGCGCCACATATGACATCATGCCCCTCCCTCCCATCCCCTCCTCACTGCGCGAGGAGAAGGGGGCAGGCGCCCCTGGCCACTCCCCGACAGCACGAAGTCTCTGCGCACCCAGCGTTTTTCGCTGCACCCGCTTCGCTGGCAATGCCTCCGCCAGTGACCCTCGTCGATGGTTTCTACCTCGCCCCAGGAGCGGTCCTGTGAGCGGGACTGCCCGCCTTGAGGAGAGCGAGAGGGAGGAGCTTAACTTTCTCGCGCACCGACTGAATAGAGGGGAGGAGGAGGAGGAGGAGGAGGAGCAGGAGGAGGAGGAGGAGGAGAAACTGTGCTTTGGACTCGGGTGAGGAACGCGCCCCTACTCCAATCGGCGGGCTGACCAGAAGCAAATTGGCCAGAGAGCAAGATCAGGGCAAGTGCAGGGCGCTTGCGCTGCGAACACGGATGGCCAGACAAAGAGTTTAAATTAGATCAACCTCACACCGCAGTATCCCACCCGTACATCAGTCGGCACTGATTTAAGCACTCCCTCGGCATCGCATCGAGAGGAAAAGAGGCAGGAGGAGGAGGAACTCCACTGGGTCCGGGTGCACTAACGAGTCGACCGATGCGGCGCGCGCATCTGCACACATGATCGAATCGGGAGGAAGAAAGACGCACATAAAAACGCGAACCCCAATCCAATTCGATGTACGGCCCACATATGGCCGATCGGATCATAATTGAGTGCATCCGTGATAACATTGTCAGCCGGGCGATTAGTAGTGCGCATGACCTCAAAGACCGGATCCCTTCTCACCTTTTTTTTGTGCTGCACGTTCTGACAACCAGAGGGCAAGTCAGTTAACAGACGGCGAAGCAGTCGACGCGCCAAATGCGCGCCAACTGATAGATGGGCAAAAGGCCCAGTGAGCATGCAAACGCAAGTAAAGTCCGTGGACGAACTCATGATTCTTGGTATTACTACTATCAACCCAATTACTCGGCGCATAGACTGTCTGCATTATGCTGCCGTGCTACTCTGGAGAGCTAGTGGTAGCAGTTGCTGGAGGGAGGAGATGAGGCGACGCGAGGAGAGGAGAGAAGGAGAGGACGAGAGGTCAGGGGAAGAAAGCAGCGACAGATCCACCCTCCTCCAAGATGTTGTTCCTGTGTTGAGATCAGCAGACAGCAGCGACGCGGAGCGGCGTGCGGCAGCCCCCGAGTCAAGGCGATACCTTGACGCTACGCAGGGCCATTGTGCGACGGCACTCAGGGCTCAGAGCCACAACATCCTCATGGTCGTCTCCTCATAGGAGGCCGCCGAGGGTGAGGCCCGCGCGGTCGAAATGCTTGGCGAAGACGTTCAAGTAATCGATGCCCGAATGCGTGCGCCCCGACACAACCTTCAGATCGATGGTGCCGAACGGCTTCCAGCCCATGCTTCCACGACGACCCTCCTGCTGGGGAAGACAAGCCGCAGAAAAC